GGAAGAGAGAGAGAGAGAGAGGACTTGGGAAGTGGAAAAAAGGCCAAAGGAGAACTTAAGAAGAAAGGATATGCGAACTTCCATATGAGTGGATTGAAGATGTAGGTTCCAATTTATTGTGAACTATGGTTGTTGGAACACCTGTGATTTTGAATTGTTTCAGGAATCAGAATCGTGGGTTTCAAATGACTCCTATAGTCCGAATCGTCGTCCGTACAATGCAAATCACCTATTGGGTAATTTCCAATATGTTTATATGTTTTTCATGCATCCTTTGACGATGAAAGAAATATATGCTTCTTCTAACTTGAAACTGAGTCTCTATGATGTAGACCTCGAGCTCCTAGAGAGCCATTCGCTTCAATGCTTTATTGAGAAACCCTTTCAACATTAGGGTCTATCAGAAGTGAGAAACAATTTATAATTTTGTGAGGAGGTTGATGAACTGGTTAAGTACTTATCATTGATACCCACAAGGCTCAAGTTGAAAGTTGAAGATTCTAGTTTACACGTACCTGCAAAAGCTGATGCTGTCTACTTTGCTAATGAATCTATAAACCTAGCAATTTGCATTTGAATCTTGATTCTGTGTTAGTAGAACTTCGACTCCATGTTGATCAAAACATTGTTTGGTGCTTCTATGAACTTTGGGTTTTGCTGTTGTAGATCTAACTTCCAAAACGCATTGGTTAACTATTTTGAAAAATTGGATTAAGGTTTCATGGACGTTGAATCCTAGTCTAATGCACCTATAAATCGTAAGTTTGTTGAGATGGAATTTAGATTCCTAGTTTCCAGGAATCGGGATTTGAAAAAAATATTTGGAATGTGATTCGAGAAATTTGAATTGTGATTCCTATCTTTCAAGAATCATAATTCATCATGGGAAATGTAGAATCGCGATTTCGAGTTAGAATCGCGACCTCGGTACACGATTCCGGTAACTATATTATGAACCTGAAGACTTCATGAAGCCAGTTTCCTGTAGCACTTACTATTAAGAAACAAGGAAGTGCTATAGCAAAGCTAGAACTTCTAGCTTTTGGAGTTGGTTGTTCCTATTATCAAACGTGGCCTTAGCATAACAAAACATAGTCATCAATAGATATAATAATCTCTATCCCATGAAATTGTGGTGTATTCCTTGCAATCTCATATTCCTTTTGAACTTGTATAAACCTTATGCAAATTTGTCAATTCTAATGTATACTCCATCTATAACACATGGCTTACCCCATGTGTTCATCTCCATACTTTTTTAGATTTGCATCTTATTCTCCCAGCTGCCATAGTGTGATGGAAGTTCCTCTATAACATCTGACACTCTTATCTTCCATGAAGTACGATTGTATCTTGCATTTTAGATGGGGAATGCTGGTATATGAGCACTAGCATTTTTTTGTAAGTCAAGTTTGTCTTATCCTCGGTTGGGCCGGCTATGGCCTACGGTGTGTGTTATCTTAAGGGCGAAGATAACACGCTTTTTCGATTGCGGTGGTATGACTGTCAGGCCCTCTCCTCGTTTCGCCCACTGGCCTATTGGGTTAGCAGCCTTCGACCTGCATTGGAGTAGAGCGAATATATTACTAACCTGATTATGTAGGTATTTTTTTGGGTTTCCTTCAAACTTTCATGATGAAAAATGGAATTCTTTTGGGTTTCCTTCAAACATCTCACAATGTGAAAATCAATGTTGTTCTTGAGCACCATATTGTTGTACGAAACAATAATGGGAAATTTACCAAAATATACCTATCAATTATTTAGTAGTTTACCTTTTTTCAACTATTCGAACTCATGATCAAGTGTTTTTTTATGGGATTTTGAAATTAAATCAAGAGAAATGGGTAATTTGTTAAATAGTTCATCTCTTAGGTGCATTTTGATAAGTTTCCTAACAATAATTCTTTAGATACCAATGATAAGACAATGACCAATTTTGTTTTGTTGAAAGGAGAGACTATGGGTATCATCCCTGATAGGTATGGGAGGAGCCTTGAGGCTTTACCTGTTATCAAATACTCCATAGTTATGGTACCCAACTTTCTAGGTGGATCTTACCCAATATAATTACGAAATTTAGAGGGTTGAAAATTTCCAATGGTTTTATTTTTCCTTTTATATTTTCTCTTTAAATATTAGGGTTCCAACCTTATTTTCCATGTAGCACTTATTTTACTCTGTGGAGTTTTGTGTGATGCGAATCATTTTCATTCCAGTGCACTGATGTATTTATGCATGTATGTTTTATGTATTTTATATAAATCTGTGTCTATATTGTTATATGATTCATAATAATGGTTTTTTGCAGTACATGCCTTAAACAAGCTGCCATACTCGAAGCTCGAGTCGAAGTCAGTTGGCATCAAGCAGGGAGTTATATTCTCCACGTACAGTAGCCTAATAGCGTCTTCTGAAAGGGGTCGTTCTCGTCTGCAGCAATTAATACAATGGTGCGGTCCAGAATTTGATGGACTTCTGGTTTTTGATGAGGTACCCTTACTAATGTATATGTTTCATTCTAGTTTTTGTTTGTTTAAACAATTAAGACGTACTAAGATTTTTAACCATTTGTGTTTCATTGATTTTCCTGCTTGATTATTTAGGAAAATGTGTTGATGTAAATTGTACTTCAAGTATGGATTTGCAATCTTGTCCTTAAATGCTCATCATTTGCTCTACAGTGCCACAAAGCCAAAAATCTGATTCCTGAGACTGGAGGACAAGCAACTCGAACTGGTGAAGCAGTTCTTGAAATTCAGGTTGCAACTAAATAATTGGATTTATCTTCCAGCCATTTTTGTTTTTCTTACAGTGTATTACATGTTTTACCTTACTAAATGCATGCTTTTCTATTTCATGCTTTGGAATGGATATAAGTTGAGTTTTGGTGGTTGTGTTATCAAAGGTTTATCTAGTTCACCTTATGTCATAATGCTTCAATTGGTGTCGCCCCAAAAAAAATGGGTTAGGAATTTATTGATTAGGGCTCCTGATACAAACCATGAATTTAAGTTTCCACTGGGGATATCTTTGGGTGGGTGGAGGGATTAGATAAGCCCTCTATAAATGCTTGTGGAGCTCATTTTATTAGCTCTAAGAAAATCAAACCTCTTTTGTTGTTTTTGGAGATCAGTCCTTTCCAAAAAAACTTCATAGCATATTCTTTGGTCGGTTTCTTCTTCTCAAACTTTCTCAGACATTGAATTGGATATTAGATACCATTTTTGAGCTCCACTCCCCTTTGTTTTTTTTTAACTATAAACTGTTTTCCAATATTACTTGTTTCTTTGTTTCCATAGTTTGGTGGTGGTTGGTGTTCCTTCTTTGTTTGGTTTGTTTATAGTTGTAAAGTGGTTTTTTTCATTACATGGCTGCAGTTGCTTTCAAATGCGAATTGATGTTTTTGTCTATTTAAAAAACCCTATCTTGTGTAATTTAATTGTTTTGTATATGTTATACATAACACTCATGTCTTTGGTGCAGCAGCCAGGCGATACATATGTTTGTATGTTTCTCTGTAAAGTGTAGATATTATCTAGTAATTTTATGCACCACATCTTTTATCATGCATCAGCCACAAAATACTACCTTCAATCAACTCAGAATGTTTTCTGCTACCTTCTGGAAGATCTATGTGTATTTTCTTTGAAGTCCTCCATCGTTTTTCCAGTTTTCCAAGCTCGACACATTGATGTCCTGTGTCAAATGTTTTTCTATTGATTTCATGTGATGTTCAGGGTATGTTGATTGCTGGTTTGGAATTTTCTCAAATGTGGTTTGTATGAAACATGCAGTTTCTAGCATCTATATCAGTTTCATTGAGGTTCTTATTGTATCTTCAAATATTTGAGATATTTCTTTTCTCTTTTCACATCTAATATTTTATTTTTTAATTTACTTTGAAAGGACCGGTTACCACAAGCTCGTGTGGTTTACTGCTCTGCGACCGGAGCGTCAGAGCCTCGCAATATGGGGTACATGGTACGACTCGGACTTTGGGGAGCGGGAACATGTTTTCCTCATTTCCAAGCTTTTCTAGGTTCGATTTTCATGGCTTGCCATCAAGTTATATCTTTTTTTTTTTCCATTTATGAGATTGTATTTAGTTTTCTGGTTTGTGATTGTATCTACTACTGTCATTAGCTCATTCCCTCAAGGCTTCTCATTTGGACACTGCACGTGCACCAAGATGTTGGATGGCATATGGCTATCCTACACTATCTTGACTTTAATGCTTTGCTCATATAAGGATTAATACCTCATTCTTTAAATCAATAAATCGTGATTAACTCGAGTTGGATTGCCTTTTAACATGTTACCAAAAGATAGGAATGCATAACCTTCATAAACCCTATTTGTCAAGCCAAGGATGTCTATTCAAAAGTTTGAAGATTCTTTCTCCATGTTATCCGTGAGTTAATTCTGTAGTTTAGAACTTATAAAATCTGCATTCTTTGTGGGAACAATGCACCTATGTGACTTGTGTGGGATCATCAGCTTCCCGAAATGTTATATATTTTTTATCTCCTCACGATGACAGCTATACAAAATTTTAGCAATGGATATATTTCTTTCTTTTTCAGTTTCACCAGTGTAATTATTCATATAGGTGTAACCATGTTTTAATGGTTGTGCCCCCCCATACTCAATGATTGGCATTGTGAGCTTTAAGCATTGTGTTAGGATATTTGGCATATTTTTTGTAAATTTCTTATGCAGGAATTTTAAAGAACTACAAATAATGCACATGAGGGGGACTGAGGTATGAATGGTTCTGAATGTTTCTGAGTACTCTTTCCACACATAAATCTGTGTCTGATTGATTGTTTGAGAAGAGGCATCAAGGATTTTAAACGAAACTTTGCGCCCTTTCCTGGTTTTTTTTTTCCGTGTGTCTTGATCCTTTGTTCCTAAACTTTTGGTTTATACAATCTGTATTTGCTTTGATACGCTAGTGTTGATAAATATTTGATAGTATCGGTGAGTCAGTATTGGCCTGAGAAGCTAAGGAATGCCAGAAGTAAACCTGTATTTGTTCTGAAGATGGCTAGTACTGCAAGTAGTGGATTAAATGGGATACATTATACATTGTAATCAGTTGCAATGCAGAATTATATACTTGGATGAGGTCTTGTTTGTCGTATTGATGAAATTGCCACAAAATCTGTTTTGCCCAAGTTTATTACCATTGTCTACATGATACTTAAAGTTCATTGTGTTTCAAATTAGTCTAGCAATTGTTTTATTAGTTTGGCAGCAGTAAAGGTGTTTGAGTGGCCTGCAACATCGTTACCATCTTTAAACCTGTACTGCTGAGTTTTCTCATTTAAAACAAAATTGAAGTTAACTATGACGGAGATATTTCTGTAAAAGGTTTCTTCAGCCTTTAATTAGATATGTATGTATCCTTGTTTTTTTTGTAAGCAAAAAATCTCTTCTGATTCTCGCTGTAGATCTCGTTTGGTTTATGTGTTCACATCTGAGAAATCAGGAATGGAGAATAATAGAGCTCCATGCTTCAGCATCCTGTTCTGCTGAACATAGATAATTCTATTGCAGAATTGTTTCTTGAAGAGACCAGACTTGTATCTTGGTGTGGCTTTTGATCTAATGATTTTTTGTATTATGTTTTGGACATATGCCCTGCCAACTGTGTCTTGAAGTACACGGTATTTGGTCATGTAGTGTTCCATGTCCCATTAAGCATACACGGTAAGAAACTGTTGTCACTAATGCTATGGGCTAAATGTTTTACTTCTCTTCAATCATAGGTCCATCCAGTTGCAGCGATTTTGTGGACCGGTCTTCTCAATCATTACTTTTGGCACTTCATACACTTCAGGAACACTTTTATACCAAAACAGAATGTTACTTTTTTCATCATGGACTTTCCGAAAATGTGCAGAGCGTTTTGGGAGTTGGGGGGTTGTGGTGAAGGAGGCAAATAAGGTAAAAAGGAACTGAAGGGAAAAGCCTTTTTGCAGAATTTATAGGGAAGAAAATTAGTGTGGGGGATTAAGAAAATTGGCAGAAGTCTATAGAGGTTTTTAGGCCACATTGGCATTTTTCTGCTGCAGTTCATGATTCAATGTTTCAGCTAATCTGTAATTGAATTGGGGAATTTGGACTGCATGGATGTCTTCGGGGCTCTGCAGGTTAAATGATTCCAAAGATTTTACAATTAAAAAACAAAAGAAAAAAATTCCAAAGGTTTTGTACAATTTCATTATTTTCCATTGTTTTCCTCAACTTTTCTTTGGTGAAATTTGGGGAAAAATATTTCCTCTAAGGTAAAATTATTCCTTCTTCTCCCTTGTCACTTGAACTTTGATGGTATGTCAATGAATTGGTCCACTACAGAAGCAAGACTTCCATACGTTCTGGGACTTGAAAGCAGAACAAAAGACAGGTCGATCTAATTGTCTCTTGGAAAGAGATGTGGCAATGTTGAAGAGACAATCTCACTTGTAAACATATCTCGGCGGGATCAAATATACGACAGGGTTACCTTATATTGTAATCATTGTTGATCAACAAGAAGAATATACGACTACAAAAGCCCTCACCTTTTTTTGATGGAGATGTTTCTTTTTTAAATACTACTGGAGAAAAACGTTTTAGGAAATAATGAAAAGTTAAATGTATTTGCCCTATATAGGAGGACTTTGACAGTGTTTTTTGATTAACGTGACAACATATTGCTGAAATAGTGTAGTTACAACAAATGCTTATGAGAGGTGACGTGTCGTGGCAAGCCACAGGTTGGGTGCTCCTTTACAAAAAATAATAATAGAAACATGTGAGAGAAGAACGGGGGAGGAGAGGGAGAGACAGTAGAGTGACGGGGTAGAGAGGGGAGAGAGAGAGAGAGGGCTTTGAAGAGATAGGGAGGTGAGAGTACAGTAAGTTCTGTCAAAACATTGTTGCTGTGCAGGACCTTTGACTGTTGATCCCCATTTTTTTCTTCTCTTTATCCGTATGTATTAGCAAGGTCAATTCTACTATGTTTCTTATTAATAAATCAGATTGTAATCTCCGAATTGTGCATATTGTAATTATAGGTCAATTGCTGAGTTTCTCATTCTAGTGTTTTGTAAGACATTATGTAGCACCTAGGCGGCTAATGGTATTGGTCGCCTAGGACCCAATGCTGACTGCCTAGGCAGCTTCTTAATTCTCAAAATTCTCCAGTATCACGAACATGGGATTTTATGGTTTTTTGAGTACTTTTGATTCTATTTTATATTTTAGTTTTGAAGCGAAAAATTGAATCATAAAAACTATTGAGTTTGAGGTGCTTTTGGATCACTTTTTGTGGTGAGGCTGTGAGAATGTGTGATTCCTTGTGTGGTTGAAATATGAGTTAGAATGGTTAACGTTTTCTTTTAATATCTTCATGAATGTGATTGTGAATCATTTTAGTGTCCCCTAATGGGGTAATATGTTATACCATACGGTAGATAAATATGTAAGCTGATTAAATCACATGTATGGATGACAGCTGTTTACAAAATTATTCTATTTTATCATATATATATTTTATTTTGGACAAATAGTTTCTCAAAAATCTTTATTTAAGAAATAATCCACAGTCTTCCCCAAAACCCAATGAAGCCTATGGTGATTCTCTGCACTAGTTAAAGCTAAATGGCTATGTAATCTATTTCCCAAAATTGGTTTTATATGACATCTTTAGGCCCAATTGTGATAATCCTGTATTTACTATCCCGTTGCTGAGGGGGAAATGGCCGCCTTATTCATTGCAGGTGTGTCATGACTATATGGCCCAGTGTTTCAAAAAGCGCTAAGCGGCGCCTAGGCAGGTGCCCAGAACCTAGGTGCCCCAATAGAAAAAAAAATCTCTATAGTCTAACAGTATAAGTATAATTGTATAACACATATGAATTAAGGATTTAGGGTACATCAAATATATAATACCCAAGTCCACATAGCACACACACCTCCATACTCCATAACCATTAGTCCATATCCAATTATCCATAGTCTAATAGTCCACACTCCACAGTCCACACATAGTTAAAACTTAAAATTTACCAACCAAATACCAAAGTTACCAAACTAGTGAACCACAAATCCACAATACACAACTAAGAGGTGGAAAACAAAAATGAAAGAAATACTTGAAGACTCAACTAGTTTTTTGGGGCTTTTCTCTCTCTAAAATAGGCTCTAATAGGTTTTAGGTTTCAAATGAACCTAAAACCCACGATTTTACCCTTTTAGTATTAAAAAAATTATCAAAAAATGCCCTCAACGAGGGGCAATTCCGCTCCTAGGCGGCTACCCAGGGCTAGGAGTTAAACGCTCGCTTAAGCGAGTTCCCGGGGTCTAGGCAGGCACCCAGAGCTATCCCACCTAATTTGGCCGCCTAGGCTTGAGCGATGCACCTAAGCCCTCTGGACTACCTAGGCGGCTGCCCAGGCACTGTGCGGTCCGCTTTTTAAATCACTGATATGGTTGTATGTTCTCAATCTCTTTGCATGCAATGGGTGACCCTACCTTCCGTGAAAGATGTTATGGTAAGGTGTGTTACGATGGCCATCCCATCCAGTGGCTGGGTGCTTTAGTAGTTGAGCGTTGTGGCCATTATTTGGTGCATTTAAAAAGAGTGTAATGGTCATATTTTTAATGATCAAAGGGTGCATGAATTGGTCCTCAAAATATGGTGATCTCTTGGGTTTTGTGTCGACCAACTTGTTTCGAGCAAAATTTTGTGGTATGCCCCAACTTGGTCAAGGATTGGAAGACTTCGACCTTGTTGGGTCCACCATTGCTTTAGTGGATGACTAGGATCCAGCCCTGTAGAGTGGGATTTACAGAGGGGGTGGTGGAATTGACCTCCAAAGGCGCCCATGGAATCCTTGCTCGAGTGGCCTGAATCTTTATCGATGGAAAGATACAAAAATAAAAAAAAAGGTGAAAATGTCTGAATCCTCAATTCCATCCAAATCGGGGCTAGCTGCATGGTTAAGATGGCAATTAGACGGTCCATAAGTGAGCATAGTCACACTCCCTTCA